TATGAATTTGCATCAGAAACATTCTCTCAATGTTACTGGAATGTCATATGCTTACTTTGTGCGATTTACAAATTAGGAGCTTGCCCCTGTGAAGAATCAACCTGCAAAGAGTTCCTCTTCTGAGGATGGATCTTCTTCGGACGAGGACGAGGTATGAGTTATATCCATAACACGTTTCTCAATCTTATATGAATGTCATATGCTTAGTTTGCAATTTATCTGTCCCATAATTAGGAGGAGCCTGCCCCTGTGAAGAAGCCACCAACAACCTTTGAGAAAGCCAAGGCACATACTTCATCATCTGAGGATGAATCTTCCTCGGACGAGGAAGAGGTATAAGTTGCATCCATTACACGTTATCTCAATCTTATAGGAAGGCCATATGTTTAGTTTGCAATTTATCTGTGTCCCATAATTAGGCTCCTGCCCCTGTGAAGAAGCAACCAACAACCCTTGAGAAACAGCAACCAACAACCCTTGAGAAAGCCAAGGCAGAGACTTCGTCATCTGAGGATGAATCTTCCTCGGACGAGGAAGAGGTATAAGTTGCATCCATTACATGTTATCTCAATCTTAGGAAAGTCATATGTTTAGTTTTCAATTTATCTGTGTCCCATAATTAGGCTCCTGCTCCTGTGAAGAAGCAACCAACAACCCTTGAGAAAGCCAAGGCAGAGACTTCGTCATCTGAGGATGAATCTTCCTCGGACGAGGAAGAGGTATAAGTTGCATCCATTACANGTTATCTCAATCTTAGGANAGTCATATGTTTAGTTTTCAATTTATCTGTNNCCCATAATTAGGCTCCTGCNCCTGTGAAGAAGCAACCAACAACCCTTGAGAAAGCCAAGGCAGAGACTTCCTCATCCGAAGACGAGGACGAGGTATGAGTTGCATCCATCACACCTTACCTCAATCTTATAGGAAGGTCATATGCTAAGTTTACAATTTATTCCTCCATAATTAGGAGCCTGCCCCTGAGAAAAAGCCACCAACAACCCTTAAGAAAGCTGAGGCAGAGAGCTCTTCATCCGGGGATGAATCTTCTTCGGACGATGTAGGACCTGCATTATAACATGTTAGCTAAATGTTACAGGAATAGCATATGCTTAGTTTGCAATTTGTTTGACATAATTAGGAACCCGCTCTTCCAAAGAAGCAACCAGAGGTTGTCAAGCCAGCTGTAAAAGATTCTTCATCATCTGAGGATGACTCTGACTCAGACGAAGAATCAGAAGATGAAAAGGTTTGGAAACATTTATGTAATTTTATTGTTGATTTACGCGTTATTTATGTGTTTGCTTGGATTCAGAAGCTGCTTGTTCCCTCCATTTCTTCATCTTTTCTTATAAAAATGAATACGTTTTACTTGTATGTAAAAGGGACCTGCTACAAAAAACCTTCCA